ACATGGGACATCTGAGAGTGAAATAAGACAGACGGCAAGAGACAAGTGACAGAGGGAAGGGAAGACGGCAGAGGAAGAACAAAGTCAAAAGGGAGATTTAGTCTTTGTTCTCTCAACTCTGCAGTTGTGCTTGTTGGCAGAAATGTCCAAAGCTGCTTTTGTCATCAGACAAATGTGATGTATGATCTTGATTTACAACGCACAAAATCAAGGAAGAACTCAAGCTGTCAAGGACAGCAGGGTGTTGAACACACACAAGCATGCACACCAGAGACCATACACATACACACTCGTAGGTGAGCACAAGTATGCATATGTTCACTTGCTTTCACAATGAATTGAGATGAATTTTCTCATCTTCCATCAATTACAGAACAGTCAAGGAGAAGCGCCACCTCTGTGATTTGAAGCCTCACCCTGCAGTGATGTACATTTCTTATAATGCATGCCCACACACACTGACACAAGAGCTTTCTCAATCGAGCATGTATGCCTATGGGTCGGCCTCTTTGAGTAGAGATGTATTATGTATCGCCAGTCTAGCATGCAGGTTAGCTAATTAATTTCTGCTAACTGTGAAGCGAATTTAAAAGGGAAATTGTACAGAGAAATTTGAATTTCAAAACGGATTGTGGGAGCACCGCATCGCAGGACAGGAGAAGGTTACACTTGTAGAGGGTGTGGGGGAGTGTGTCTTTTTGTGTGTAAGAGAAAGGCAACATTAACTAGAAATGGGGGCGGGGGGGTGTAGATCTAGAGCTCAAGATTAAGTCTTTGAATTGCTTGTTTTGTCCAACCGACAGTCCACAACAGCAAGATAATATTTTATGAAACTGAGACAATCAGCAAATCATCACGTTTGAGAAGCTGGAACCAGTGTATGTTTAAAGAGTAAATTATTAAAGGATCTTTATTGTCCAAGTGTGGAAATTTTTCTGGCTGGTTAAAAAAACGCATCATTAAAAATCACTATACAAGCAACACAACATACACAGTACAAACAGTAACGGATATGATTCCAGTGTAGGGACATATTTATGAATTGAGAGAAGTTATTGCATTTTGTATGAAAGACGTAAATGTTTTTGTAAATGTTCTTAGCCGCTGAAGCTGCTCTAAAGCGCCTTACAGAGGGCAATTTCATAAATTCATTAAATAAGTGGTGTACAGGATCTGATGCAATTTGTCTAGCTTTTTGTTAGCCTGTGTTTTATATATACGTCTCAATTGTTTCTGCTCTTTCCCAATAATCTTAAAAGCTATATTTGTGATTCTGCACAATCTGTTTTTGTCCAGACCATGTAGGCTAAATATATTAAATTATGTAGGCCTATATAAATTCAATTAGATTTCGAACACTCTCTAAAGTATTCTTATTTATGTGAGTCCACACATGAGTCCTATTTCTGGATCAGGTACAGACGCTGCATTGCTTTATTAAAAATATACTCTCTGTTGGCTGTAAAACTTACAGTATTTAAACTCCTCAACCGTCTCAACAGGCTTATTGTTAATCAAAACAGGAGGAAAAAAAGGACAGGCACTGTGGTGGCTCATGATCGCTAGCTCCTTAGTCTTCCTTTTGTTAACATAGAGGACACTGAACTCACACCACTTAGTAAGCTCTTCAATACCTTTAAGATATGTTGACTGTTCAGCTGTGTCCCCCATCTGCATAAGACCAACAACCACCATGTCATCAGTATATTTATACAACTGGCAGGTTAGAATTCTTAATCTGGATTTCATTTGTGTATAGAGAAAACAAAACAGGTAAAAGCACACAGCCTTGTGGTGCTCTTGTGTGTTTGTACTAATTACACTTTTTTGAGTTAGCATATTAAATGTACAGTCACTTCATCTATTAATCCTCATATTTTCCCTTTTCCAGAGAAGATCCAGTAAATCTGTCCTCCTCATGTTCACACACACACACACCTCACCCCCTGACATATAAATGCAGCAATCAGCTCTCAGCTGTGTGGACAGTGTGAAGCATGAAAGATTGAGAGCATGCTACTGAGATTAGCAGCAGTAGTAGTAGAAATACTGCCTCTACTTCTGTAAGATAGTAGTTATTACAAGAAGTAAAGTAGCAGCATTTATGGCAAATATATACCTTATTCACATCCCCCATTCTGTCACTCTCCTCTGCCTCTATGTCTATAGCCTCACTATGCTAATGTTCAGCTAGCAGCTCAAAGGGCATCACTGGAGACTTGGGGGGGGGGGTCTGAAGTCACTGTCACTGCCATTAAGAAAGACACTTAGGATTGCGCTACTAAAACACAAGCCATTATTATTTCAAGTTTATTGAACAGGGACCATGCGTTATGAAACACTGACTTCATGCTTGAAATCTGATGCATTACACAGAGACATAGCTAAACAATTAATTTTCATCCCCAGTCCCTGGACCAGTTACTGGCCAGTATGGACATTGTTCTATAAATTCTTGTAATATCTAGGTTTTAAAATGGCTAAAAGACAGCGGGAGAGATGAACATGGGAGTGTCAGCAGTCAGAGGGTTTAAATGCATGTTTTGAGTTTGTGAAGGTTGCATGTTCAAGCTAAAACAGGGGGTTAAGTTGCTTTTTAAGGTATGTCTTTATCATGTTCAACATGCCACCAGAGCACACTGTGTGTGTGTGTGTGTGTGTGTGTGTGTGTGTGCACAAGAAAGAAAAACATGGAACAAGGGTGGGGGCTGTACTGTGATAAGTGCTTCCTGTTAAGGGGGAATGAGGAAGAACGATGAGTGTGTATGTTGTGGTTTGTCAGAGCCGGCGCCCTGTCGCACACACTGGAGGAAAAAAATGATGGGTAGCGGGTGACTAGGAGGGTGGGTGATGGACTGGGTGAGCTAGCGAAGGAGGGAAACGGAGTGATGGAGTGCTGGATGGCAGGAGGGCAGGGGGGTGATGAGTGTGTGCTCACAGTGTAAGTGACGCCTCTCCTCTTCAGACAGATTGTCTCGCTCTCCCTGTTAGAGAACCTTTTCTCTCCATCTATCCAGCCAAACCCCTCTCTACACACACACTCTCTCCATCTCCACAGACAATTCTTCTTGTTTATTTATTTTTCCTGCAGAGATATTCCCCAAATTGCCTACATTTTGAAGTCTTTCAAATTCGCCCTTTTCTCTGCATAATTTCTAATCAATCTTCACCTCTTTCTAAAACTGCTGATTTTCTGTGAAGCAGTTTATTCTGGTTTACAGCTCAGAGAGAGGGAAGAAAATAGACGGAGAAATAGAAAAAGAGAGATCTGAAAAGAAGGAGAGCGCGCAAGCAAGAGGATATCAATATTCCCACTGCCGCTGGGATCCTCAGAATGATTTTTTTCCGACTGTTTGAATCTGACAGCAAATATTCTGCGTAGTCAAGGAGCCTATTTATCCTCTGTCCAACATGGTTCTATGTGCCAGTCACACTGAAATGATTCATATACACGCTTACTTTAGGGACACACACATACTGACATAGGATCTGAGGACACATATGCTCAAAAGAACCACTTGTACCACACACTAATACCTCAAACAGATGTTTTGAACCAGACAAAAACATGTTGCTTTCCTGAAATTTAATCAACAGCAGGTGATTGGCAGGGTGTGTGAGAGACAGTGGATGTATGTGATTACCTGTGTGTGCCTCTGCCCTTGCTAACAATCATCTCGGCAAACCCGATCAGAGGCTATCTCGTCGCTTTGCTGGTGGGAGTGTGGCACGCAATCACACTGACACCTCAGACAAATAGGCTTCATAACGTCTTTGTAACAAGCAATCATTGGGGCCTGGGCCCCTATCCCCAGTGAAATCTCTTCTACCTGTGTAGATGCAAGGATACAAAGGTATCTTCAACACTTATAACCAGGTCTCCATTGTGATAGAAGAGCCGCCATGGTGATGGAAATGATGTTCTAAAGGAAAGTGTTTTTATGAAAAAGTATGTGGTTTTCAATTTCATCGTAGGAAAAATCTATTTGTATATGGCACTTATTTGTCGACATCGCAGCTATGCAGCACAGCAGACACTCTGCACTACCTCTGAAAGTGAACTCCAAATCCATAATGTATGTTCACACAAACACATTTGTCCAAGTTTCACTCCCACATCGTTTCATAAGGTCTGCAACTACTCCTACCAACATGTTTGTAACATTCTAATGAAACACACTACCTGCCAGGTACCCACCAACACAGTTCCAAGCGTGTTGCCAACACGCATCAAACAATGCTGGAGCTAGATAAAATGTTCAATGCAAATACCACCACCACTACATACCACTTGCCTACATCCATCTGTGCTGTATGTAGATAGCATCACAAATCTTACATTCTCCTACGAATACAGCATCAATATTCAACTTCACGGCAGTGAACCCTGCAGTGTTAGCATGTCGAGAATATCTCAACATCAGCTATAAGCAATGTCTAACTAACATCCAAACATGTAGTTACTTCACTGTCGGCGCTCTCAAGAATCCTTTCAACTCTTTGAGCATCAGCAATCTCATTGGCAATGCTGTAACATCAACACCTACTGAATGTCTTTTCCTACTTCACACAAGCCCACCATCTAAGCGTCCACCCACAACAACCTTCAAAAGTATCACTTCGAATATCCAAACATCACAACATGTAAGGTAACCGTAGTATTATTCACTCCAAATCCTTCTCAGCTGATTTTGGATGTGACCATTCTCTAGCCTCTGTGAGCTGTTATCTATTAGAATAATGCATTATTTGCCTTCTCTGTGCTTTTGATATGTAATTTAGCAGTCATCTGTGGAAATTTTAGTATTAAAATTGGACCAAAGGAAAGCACAAAACAGTTAATTGGATCTGACGTTTGTAACAGTGACATTTGCCTAATTTCTTCCTATTAAAAAGTGTCACAGTGGTGTAAGTAAATATCTAAACCTTGGATGATTTTATACTTCTACATTACATATTTTAAACCCTTCTAACCCACCCATCTCCGTTGTCTTCCCCAGGCAGTAGACTATGAGAGCCGGAGCTCCTACTCCTTTTCTGTGGAGGTCCTCAACCCCATAGTAGATCCTCGCTTCTTGCGTCGAGGCCCCTTCAAGGACCGGGCCTCCATCAGAGTAGCAGTGCTGGATGCAGACGAGCCTCCGAGGTTCTCCCGAGCCCGATACCACATGGACGTATCTGAAAACTGTCCGCCAGCCTGCACTGTGGGCCGGGTTAGCGCTGTAGACCCTGATACTGGTCTTACTAACAATATCAGGTACAGTAATAGGCTTCTGTCATCATTTAGCATGTAAAATTTCAGTGGTACAGTTAAATTTCCCATAAATTTCCCTAAAGCTGGTCCATTATACTCTTTATTGAGAATTGTCAATAGTCTAGTATTAAATGAATGCTTTGATGTTTTGAAAAATGTGCTAATTTGCTTTCTTCCTGAAAGTTAGGTAGCCAGCTAGACTGGCTCTTTTTGTTGAGTTAAACAAGGAGATATCACTAGAGGTGCTGGTAGGCGTGGTTTGTTACATTTGGACAGAGCCAGGCTAGTTGTTTCCCCTGTTTCCAGTCTTTGAGCTGAGCTAAATTCACTGTCAGCTGGCTGTATCTTTATATTGAGCATACAGATGAGAGCGTGATATCAATCTTCTCATCTAATTCTCAGGGGGAATGTGATTAAGCACATTTCCCAAAATGTTCCTTGAAGTATTTACTGTGAATTAAATCATAACAATACTGTTACTGTACTTGCTGAGAGTTATCTATCTTAGTTAATTTAATGTTGAGAGTGTAGGATTTTTTTAAATATTGATTGCGTAATCTCAGGCATAAACATTTTTAAGCGAGAGATATATTGTTTCCTCAATTGAAATTCAAACTCAGAAACAAGACTCAACAGTAAGAGCTAACCAAATAAATAAAACCAAACTACAACTAACCAAATGCCCACTCAGTGTTCTCATGAGCTGACAGTAACCACATATTTCTTTAGGTTCAATCCTTTCTCAAATATTTTATATATATATGTATATATATATATATATATATAGTTTGGAGAAGGGAGGCGAGTGATTTATCTGTAACATCCACTGAAAGCCGTGTCGCAATTAACCAGCAAAAGTGCTAAGAGTGAGTGTGTGGGGAAGAATGATAGTTGGTATATTCATAGAGATATTTAGATAATCGGTGGCACTTCAAAAGAACTCTTATCAGCTGCGATAATCTCCCTATATTAATTCTTTGGCTATTTGAATGCAGACTTCCTTATCGCTCCCTCACACACTTGCCCTGTCTGCTTCTTTCACGCTGCACCCCACTACCGTCTCTGCTTGCTTCTCCCTTCCCTCTTTCCTTCTGTACTTCTCTCTGCCCCTTCCTAAATTCACTTACATTCACCTTCCTTCTTTCAACACAACTATCTTTCTCCTCCCACCCTACTTTCTCTTTTCCAGGTTCTCCATTGATCCTCAGTCAGACCCAGAGGCTCTGTTTCGTATCAGCCCAGACACCGGCCTCATTGTGACAGCCATGGAATTGGACCGGGAGCGCGAGCATTGGCACAACATTACTGTCATCGCCACCCAGAGAGGTCAGAGGTCACTCTTTGTACGCCACTTCACACCAGGATATCATTAGAGCTTGTCCATTGGATTATGTCTTTTTATTTAAGGCTAAGTCTCTTAAATCAAACCAGCATTATACCACCACTGACACCTGCACCCACTGTTTAGCAAGAGGGTGTAAAAGGTTTAAGGAAGTGTAAACTGTATATTGTACGGTGTCTGAAAAGCACACTAGCCAGTTTGTGATGCACTTCACTAAGCGGCTTAACACTCAAATCATCAAGCTATGAGGGGAATGGAGACAAATAATTTGTAACATCTTGCCTGAGAAACAATCGATCTGTGTTGTGTGAGTTATCTGATGCTGCAATGGATCTGTTCTTATAAGGATTCAGCTGGAAGAATTAAAGCAACCAAATCGAAGACAACCATTGCTTTATAGATACACTGTGGCTGCAAAGGAGAACGGTAAACATCTTTCAAGCAAGGATACCCAATTTCAACAGACACTGAGGCATTTCAGAGGTTATATTTCAATCATAAAAGAGACCACAAGTGAACAAAGACAATGAGATGAGAGATGAAAGGACAATAACAAGGTCCATTTAGTGGCTATTCTGGAGCTTTCAGTCATGATCAAGGTGAGGTTGTTTTGTCGACTGCTATTTCTAAGTTCAAGAAAAGCATTAGCCTGGATATATTGTATATTTTTGTTATTGTCTACAAATGGCATGGAAAGTGCATCTCTCAATACTATCTGTCATTCCCAAACTCATTGTTACTATAATATATTGTACTGTATATTGGAAAAAAAGAGCCATATATATATATATATATATGGCTAAATAAACAGCTAGGCAATGTATTTTTAACAAATGTTTCTCAAATAGAAGTAACTAATGCATTTGTTGAGGACTGTTTATCAGCCGTAGATTAATACACATGTGGTGCTCTAGTGAGTATTTTTGACAGCAGGATGGTGTATGTGGGACTGACTCAAAATAAATTACAGTATCTATGTTTATGATATGAAAAGAACATATCACTCAATGAAAAAGTGTGACCTTTATATTTTTGGACAACCATGGAGCTCTATGATAAGACATATCAGGCTTTGGATACACAGACAATACTTATTATTGGATCAATTCATTGATCATTCAGTTCTTTTCATGGGATGTGTTGACAATCTAAAAATCTGGAACATCACCAATGTAGATCCGAAGTCATGAATCATCTTAATGGTCAAATGTGGTTTTGAAGGCACTGACAAATGATGTCTTCCTATGGGTGCCAGATCTGTAAATGAACAGAAAATGCTCACACACTTACATGTATGGGTCATTTTGGAAGGCAATGACAAACAACTTATTTTATTGTTCAGTTTAAAATTAGCACCAGCCTTCTGGTAAATCCTGGCTAAGTTCTAACAAGCCATTATTTGGATCCTTTTCTCAGGCCCTAAAAAACAGCCACACAGGTTGGTCTAAAAGTGAAAGTATTATTGGAGAGTGCTGTCCAGTGGCTGCTGTGTGCAAGGAAGGAAAGTTGTTTTCCTGCCAAGTCTTGCTCTGGACCAAGTTAATCTTTATTTAAAATCTACTCAGGGCTCCTTGTGGCAGCAGAGTTGGTAGGACTGTGGCAGCAGCACAGTGAGTGCCTGTCTTGAATAATGAGCTCTATGTAATAAACAGACTGTTGGAGGCTATGTTGACATAAAGCACAGTAGGAGTCCTGCCATGGCCACAGGCAGGCCAGCTCACCCAGTGGCATTACAGGAAGAGCTCATTTTAGGCTTTTCAGCGATGGGAACCGGTCGCTGTCATCCATGACAGTGTTATTGCTCTAGGTTTGAGAACATGATGTGGGAGTGTGTGAGTGTGTGTGTGTGTGTGTGTGTGTGTGTGTGTGTGTCTTATTTTACAGAAAGTGTGGCCCACTGTGTTGCAGGGTTGCCTGCTTAGATAAATGAGTGAAGATGTGTGCTGTTGAGCCTGGATTGTGCCTGAGCCTGACACAAGAGCAGCCTGAAATGTAATGGTGAATGTTCAGCTTAGAATATGATTCTGTGCGTTTCAAGCGTGGCTGTGAGAACTTCATGTTTGAGTGTGTGTATATCCAAGTGAATGGGGTGTGGGAGACCCTCTGCCAATCCATTTAAACTGCGCCCTTGTGTAACTGCATGCAGATTGACTGCTTTCTTCATCCCTCCTCTGCTCCCTCTCTCTATCTTTTTCTTAGAAACAGACACACACACATACATACTTGACGCTGTGAGATCCTTTGGCTAAGAATGGAACAGTTTGATGTGGAAAAATGCGACTGCTATAGAAGCATCTGTTGTACTCCAGCTTGGAGCCTATGAACTGTAACACAAGCCAAATGAAACCAAATGTATCACTACTGTATATTTTGCCAATTGTGTGGTCGCTAATATGATCTGAGTGCTGTTGAAGTTTTTGGACAAAGACTGAAATGCTTGATCTCACTTACAGGGACAATTGAATGGATATAATGGAGCGCGAACGTGCACCTATCTCTGGTGCAAATTAATTGTTTTCATATATTTTAAATACAGCTGTCTATAGGCATCTGCAGAGTGCTGTATTGTAAGCTGCCTGTTTCTGATTTGCTCCATCAGACAATCCCAGCCAGGTGTCCAGAGTTCTGGTTGCAATAGAAACATTGGACCTGAATGACAATGCACCGGAGCTTGACAGGCAATACACAACAGCTATGTGCGACTCATCCACCATCGGGCAGGTCAGTCTGTTTAAATTACCTTTGATGTCAATTAATTTGTCTGTATGAAGATTTCTGTTCCAGGAGTACAATGTAAAGTCCCTATGTGTACAAAATGAATTTTAATAGCATCTTTCACATTACAGTGCTGGAACAAGCTGTTGTTTGTATGAAAATTGGTGCACGCAAAAGGATCTGCTTTTGTTTTCACACTTCTCCACTTTTGGGAACAAATTCTTGGAACAAAAATTATTTGGCACTCCTCGTATGGTGATACTAAATGCAAGTTCCAGGTACTTTCGAGGGTTGTCAGCAGTGCTGAAAATTGTAATTTGTCAAGAAGACGCAATAGAACCTAGTACCAAAGCCTCACAAGGTTTTTAAAAAGTTAACGTTACGGGCAGCCCTAGGTTATTGTTGTTTACTGGTTATCAGCAAATACTAGTATGCTACTACGCTAACCTAAGATGATGAACATGGGAAACATTATATGAGCATGTTAACATGCTGACGTTAGCATTTAGCTCAAAGCTTAATGCTTAGTACAACCCCACAAAGCTGAAAACATGGCTGTAGACTCTTCTACATTCAGACCACTTAGTCTTAGTCTCGTTCAACAGCGTCGGGTCATTTTTACGGGGCTTTAGCCCCGAATGTAACTCAACAGCAGCAACAAAAATATTTTCCATGTTAATATGCAATAATCTTCATGACAAAGTCTGTCTCGCAGGTCTTCAAAGAGCAGAGGCTACTCACAATAACTGATACATTTTGTTTGAAGTTCAGGTAATGTGACCCCACCACCGTTACTCAGCCTGCCTGCATTTAGAGAGAGCATGAGAGAGAAGAGAAAGAGAGAGAGCGAGAGTGCATTGCTCACAGCTTCAAGGCTTCTCCGCGACTTCTGAATTGCAAAATTGTAATCAGTATATTTAAATATAAATGTTGTCAGCCAGTGTTTAGTCAATGTATTAACACAAACGGCTAACAGTCCCTGCACAGTAGTGAGAGAATATCATGACACCTGACCGCGACACAGACACCTGACGCTCTGTGTCCTGCTGTCTCTGCCCCCCTCGCTGTGAGACACTACTGTTTTACTGTCTTCAGGATGCTTTATTCCCTCGGCTGTGAGCTGCACTTTATCAGAAGTGCAGAAGTGAACATTTGTGTGGAATTATGGTGATATTGCTATCTGAGTGTTTTCAGTTTGGGTTTTCTTCCTCTGATGAAGATCAGTGCGCTCGTCTCATTGAGTAGGCTACAGTCCCAGACGGGCTCTGTGTCTGTCAGACGGTCTGAAGGGGGTAGCCTCAGGGGTGGACTGGTAATCTGGCATAGGCTACTGGCCGACGAACCTTTAGGGCTGTTTGGTATTGGAGTGCTGCAGTAGCTTCAACATCAGCTGCATAGCCTTTTGAACATTTTCATCAATATTTCTTTTTAGACTAAATTCAAATTAATTAAGCTAATTTATCATTAAGGTGAAAAGATGCCACATAAACAAAGACTTTAGGCTACTTCAGGCATGCCTGCATGTATGGAAACTCAGCTGGGATTAAATTAAATGAGAAAAGTTGATCTACAGGAGAAACATATCTGACATCAATACAGAATGCCTGACTTACTGCATTATATTACACTAAATTATTTTATTTTGAATTGTCACCTCAGACATTTTCTCAATAAATTGGTGCAAAAAAAAATTAAGTGTTTAAAGCCCACATTTTTCAGGGGGAGGACCCCCAGACCCCCCCTAGTTAATATTATCAGTGTTAATTATTATCAGAAAATGAGACAGATGTTAGAGTTACTGTGTAGAGGTCATTTACTGTTGCTTTACAGACATACTTTGGGTAGGCGGCAACGGGGGGTGGGGGGTGAAAACAGGTGAAAACATGAAAGATTTCTGGGCTGGGCTAAGCCCCCAATGTTTCAAGAGCCTGGAAACGCCCCTGGTCTCGCTTAGTCTTGTTCAAAGGTATATGCAAGCTTAAACTGCTATGCTATGCTAACGAACATATTTGCTTAAATTATTAACACGCATTGTTTTTGTACATTTTGTACAAAAATTACATTTGGCTGATTAGTATCTTGTTATATTTATACTTTATACATAGGGTGTATGTTTGGGATACCATTGCCATGTATACCATACCATATAGTATGTTGTACTAGCATAAACAAAGCATGTACAAATATTCATAATAAATCTGGATTAAAGTTTCCATTACAATGCCAAACAAAATGGACTAATACTTTATTTTATTACTTTTATTAAGATGTTCATGTCGTCAGTTGTCAAGCGTTAGATTCATTTATTTCAAACAGTGATATAAAGAAACAGTTCTTCAGAGCTGCTTCCATTTAAATAAGGAAGTATTTCATACAAAGCCATGAAGTATGGGAACATATACAGTACAGTAGTACTAAGCTAAATCTATTCAGATGTGGCAGCATACAGCTACAGTTTGCACATTCACCATGGAGGCAGGTGAATCCTCCATGGCCTGTTATCAGAGCACAGCAGCTATTCACATTGTAATTAAACTCGAGTCTCCTCTCAGACGGTCTCCCTCCCGCCTGCCTTCCATCTTGCTTTATTTGTGCTCTTGCCTATTTTTCTGCATCACGGTGCTCTTACTTGATGCTATCTCAATTATAGAAATCATCTCTGTGCTCCTCAGTCTCTCTCTGGAAACCGTCCTTTGCGCTCTTTTTTCCCCCCCTCTATCTTCAGTATTCCATGCTGGCTCCATCACCATCATTTGGTGTCTTGGCCCATCTGTTGTTTTTGCTGGTGTTTTCATTGCTCTGCTTGTGTCTTTGTTGTTTTCGCCACTAAATCTGTGATTCTGTGGCAATGGCGTTGATTTGCTTTTGCCTGTGATGTTCATGTTTGTGTTTGTGTATACTCTGTGAGTGAGCAGGAAGACAGTTCAAGAAAGAAAGATTATGATATCTTTGAATGTGTTGGGGTTGTGTATGCACGTCTCTGTATGACAAGTCATTAGCCAAAACGCGTTTGAATATTCACACTCCGCAACTGATAACATAATGCGACTGTACATAAATCTTCTCAAGGCCTAGAGACACTAACACAGAGAGAGCACACGGCACCCTTCATCCCTGCATTCAGTCTCATAACTAGCACTCGAAAGCATTTCTGAAAGGATTTCTTGCATAATGACAACCAGAGTTTTTCATTAAAAAGAAATTACCCATCAGCTAAGGCTGTGGGAGATTTTTTTTTTGATTAATTTTGTTACGATTGCCGCTGTAGACTGGTGCAAATGCTATTACAAAATTGAAAGCCACACTGCACTGTATTTGTGAAAGGCGATTCATGTCAGACACAGTTATTTATTGGGTGCCAGTATCAGACTCAGTTCGCTTGTGTCTCTATACTAATTGTCTGGCTTGTTTTGATTCCTGCTGACGCCGGCTAATGGTTTGTAACTTAAAGCACTTTCACAAATACAGTGCAGTAGTGTTTCTCCCATTACCTTCTTCTCTCTGCTCTCTGTGCCCCCCCCCCCCCCCCCCAATCCACACACACACACACACACACACACACATTAACACCCAATCTCCTCTGCTCTCTCTATCTCTGTGTTTCAGGTGGTGCAGGTGTTGCGAGCGATTGATAGAGATGAGGGAGGGAATGACAGCACTGTGTATTTCAGCATCCCTCCGGAGTCCAGCGCTGCCCTCAACTTCAGCGTCAGGGACAGTGGTGGTAGGTACTCAATCTTTCCCCCTCTTTCAATTCACTTCCCTAGGCAGATACATGCTGTTTTTGCCCACTTTTTTAAGGCTCTTATTCCAATATTTTCTTTCAGTTTTACTCTTTCCATCTTCGTCTTTTCTCCTGTTCTCTCTCTCTCTCTCTCTCTTACCCTTTGCCTCTTCCTCTTCTTTCTGCCTCTCCCTTCCCCTTTTCTGTCCCTGCCTCTCTGTTCTACCATCCATCTCCCAACTCTGGTGGCCACATTGTTTTGCTTTGTTATCCTCCACTCTTTTATTCGTCCCTCTTGTTTGCCTTCCCATATCCACTACATCCATCTTCTCCCCACAGCCACATATACTTACTGTTTACAATGAAAAGCTTTTGAAGAAATCAGAGCTGCTTCATTTAATTCCCTTCAACCCAAATGAATTTATATACTTAGTATTTGATTCTAGTACATTCTCTGTCTGTACTGCTTTCTTTGGCCCATTTTCCCTGCACAAATACACACACATAGTGTATATAGAGTGCATGTACACGCTGATATAGACACATACAGTACAGCACAGTACAAACATGTAAACATACACATTCACACATGTTGGGCTATGTCCTTTGTAACTGTATGTTATTTGTAACTGTAAGCATCACATTATAGTAGTAGGGGTTATTTTTGCTTACATTTATAAAACAAAACAAAAAAGTTATATAAAATAAAAGTTTCTGCATTAATATCTACTGTGTTCAGATTACATTCACAAAAAATCTTAGGTATTTTTTTATATAGATAAAGACAACATAATTGGTCTACAAATATATTTTTAGCAATTATGCTGTATGTGAAGTTTTATTGTAAACAAACACAGTTGTGTTTGCAGGCAGTTTTCAGCACCAAACACATTGTTTGTATCCTTGAGGCCTAATAAACATGCTGAATAAAACATTCACAAAGCTGACATTTTGTTTATATTTTGAAACCTGCACAATTTACTGTACAGTACATCCTTGATTTCATCGATTGATAGTCTTTTTCATTTTTCACCTTTTGATGTTTTACTACACTTTTTGATTACATTGGTCTGTCAAAAAAAAAAGTGTGTAAAAGAGTAGAAAAGTGTGAAAACTTGGATGTTTCAGCTTACATGAACTACACATTTGCATTACAACTCTCTGTAGCTGGCAGAAATACCAAAACATTATGGCAACAGATGTTAAAAACGTGAAGTCCAGTTTAGGCGGTTAAATTCCTGTGTCATGTTAGCTAGATATATCAGTTGTCTATCAAGCTGTAGCAAGTCGATTTGTCCAATATATATTTACTCTTAAAAAATGTTGCAGTAGGCTATTTATTATTATTTTGGCCACTTAGGGGCAGCGCAACAAAACGCCATATTGACACATTATCACCTTAAAAAGTTGATATGGTGAATGTGCTAATAGTCTTTTACACATCCAGCAGACACAGAGCAGCATTAGCATTTATCTGAAGTCATGTTTCCGTCCACTTGACAAATGTCCAGCATTCACTCTCTTTTTAGCTTTGTTTTGGTCTCCACCATCTACTGAGGTAAAGTTTGGGCTATTTAGCAGCTAAATGCTTTTAAAACTGTTGTACTGCAGTTACAAATGAGGTAGATGAAAGTGGTGACAGTGAACCCAACAATAAAGTTGTAGGCCAGAAAACCAAAACAACACCAAACAACAAAATATGCTTAAACACTCAGTAGAGCTGAGGGGAACTGCAGAGTTGGTTGATAATTCTCTTTGGGTTTGGCAGTATGAGCAACATTTTCACATTACACAGATTAATTTGAGCCGTTGTTAATTGTTAAAATATTTATTAATGCAAAATTAAGCAAACTATTTCAAAAGGATAAAAAAGTTCATAGTTAATTATATTTTGATATGCTGTCATTTATTTAGTAAGCACTAAATGTCTGCTGTAGATTTTTTTAACTCTGATGTAACATCGGACAGTACTGGCATATTCAAAAGTATGATTTATAATTCTGGTGGCTGACGAGCTAAGTACTTATTGGCTATCATTTGCACAATTTGGCCTGCTAACTGTTGCTAAACTTGGCAAAACCATGAGGAGCAAACCTGCTCTAGTTGGACTGTGGATCAGGAGGATAAACTCACTGACATGTGGAATCAAAGGCCTCTTTGATGTGTCATCCAACAGGAGAACAGAGAAAAGAAGAACATGTTCTGTTCTCATATGGACAGCTTGTCTGACAAAGGCATGTGACACTGTTTGCTTTGTTATAAACACTAATGATTCGATCTGTGATTTGGATCAGAGAAGATTGTTACGATAATTGAGTCACGTTTATATGACTTTGCAGTGCCTTTCATACTGATTAAATATGTTCCACACTATGTCTAGTTGCCCTCTTATCTGTGGCCTTATTTTTTGGAGCCTTTCATTTAGAAAAAATCTAAAAATATCTCCCACACAGACACTTCATAGCTCTTTCTTCCAAAAGTAAGAGGACCAATGGATGCCATTTGCTGCTTTGTTCTTACTGTTCTCTGTCCATGTGAGCCTCTCGTTATCGATGAAAATGGCAACATCTCAGAAACAGTGAAAGATGTGTGAGCTTAGGATGTGTTCCATGTGTGAAAACATACAGTCATGGCGGCGATGCTTTTAATGTGCAGGCTCTGCTCTGCCCATTTGGATTGGCACTGTCAATCAGGAGAAGTGCCGACAAGTGTGACATAATATGTTATATTGACAGTAGTTTTAACTTTATGTTTAAGTTTTTTGTTGCAAATTTGGAGCCATTAATCGTGAAGTGTAGCTATAGTAGAGAGGAACGATACTCTCTGTTCTAATTGAAACACTCTGCAGTTAATTCATCCTGTTAGCTCAAATTACTATCATTGTTATTCTGTTGTGAGACATTGTGGCTTCAGTGGTAGAAAAAGGAAGTATGAAATTAAATAGTAATAATAATAGAGGAAGCTGGACCCATTACTTTGTGGTAGAAACCAGTCACCATTTGATTGGAGTCCCAAATTTGCAAACATGATTGTAGTGAACTTTGAAGATAACTTCACCATTTTAACCTTCTGCTGCCATTCAGCCCAGAAAAAAATTGTACCGTGCAGTTAACAATGGATGAATTATCTTCCTCTCCAGGCCCCACAGGCAGCCTGGTGCTTCTGTCCCAGCTCCAGCCACTGTCCCGCTCCCAATCCTCCACCCTGACGCTGTACGTGCCACTGGTCCTGAGGGACGGGATGTCAGGCCTCACCAGCACCGGGACGGTCACCGTGTCCGTCTGTCCCTGCCTGAGAGGAGGGGCACGGGCTGGGGAGAAAGAGAAGGAAAAACAGGTCGAGGGCGAGTGGGACTGGGAAAGAGAGGCGGTGTGTCTCCCTCAGCAGTCCACACTTCCTTCCCCTGGGCTCAGTACCGCTGCCCTGCTGGCTATTCTGGCTTGTGTCGCTACGCTACTAGGTAAATATTTTGAAACATAGAGTTTATGAACAACACAGTGATGAAGTCCAGGGTCACCATAAGACAATAACAACAGTGAAAATTAAAGATTTGAATAATTTTTGTCTGTTGAAAGACCCCTTCTTATATGACCTACATCATGTTTTCACTACAGCGCTTAGTATTATTTATAGAGTGAAGTTATATCATTAAAATGTATTGCCTATAAAGGAGTTTAATGTTAATCTACAAATAAAAAGATGAGTAAATAGTGTTTAGGGCTGTTTACCCTCCACCACATCCCTGGATGCTTAATCTGCATAGGAAAATAATGGAATCAGCAGCGTCAATATTTCTCTTAGTCACAGCTGCTCAATAATGGGGTTTACTTTTCCTCGCAATTTTGGTCCAGTTGTCTCCTCTGGCAAGGTCAGCACTAATCACTGCTAAAATAACAATTCTGAGTGATTATCTGGGCCCTCCGGTTTTTGATAGCAGTATAATAAAATGTCACTGCCACCTTTGCAGAAACTCTCAAATGCTCAATTGGATAATGTGTAGGTGCTGAGAAGGCTTTGGCTCGTGGCCAGCATCATTGTCATTTCTATTCAGCCTGTTGGATCACTACTCATTCCTTGTTGATAGGGGCATTATCATTCTGGAAGAGACCAGTTCAATCAAGAAAGAAACGCAACATGGCGTGAAGGTGATCATGCTGAGTGGCTTTTGGTGGAGTTTAGAATTTAGTTCTCCAAGTGACAAGGGCATAAACTATACCAGCAAATGCACACAACTTTATAGCATCCGCCTCAAGTTTGTAGCTTTAAAATAGACCTAGAGTTTTGTTCCAGTTCAATTTTGTTTTTCTTGTCTGTAAGAGGTTCATGCTAATCCCAAACAGTATAATTGGACCCTCCACAAAATGCCAAATGTTCTTACAGAAGCTCTGACAACCGCTCCATCAGGATCCCATCTGGTTATTAAAATGGGGCTTGGCATACATAAGGTGGATTTCAGGCCATGTGGTAACCACTCTTCATTCTAGTCTTGTGGATAGAGGCTCCTACGAAAAGAGAAATATATGTTCTTTGTGGCAAGAAGTTGATCCCTCAAGTTGTTATGAAAGATTAGAGTTGTCCCACTCCTTACAGGTATTATTAGATTAGTTCTATGGAAATCAAACAATGCAACCTCCAATAATATTAAGGCTTGTAACAAGGCTGTACATGTAACTAAGCACACTAGGTTTGCATGGAACAGTAAGAGAAACACTCAGGGGCCTTTACAAAACCAATAACACAAGAGGAAAGGTGTAAGGAATGGAAACAGTATGTTCATCTGCTCTAATTTATGCTGCACACCTGCCTGGCTAACTAGATTACTACCCACAGTCATGTCCTAGCGATACTTCCAAAGGCAAAGGGCAAGTCATTGGCTAACTACATCATTTTGTGAGGTTACAGGTTATTGTGGAAGAATTGGAACAGCCTCTGAGTGGGAACCAGGATGACAGTACATCATAGTTTAGAGTAATGATATTACTCTCTATACTGCTTCATTTAAAACCCTTTCCAGGGTTCTTGTTTAAAAATGAATCAGCTGGACACATTAAAAAGTTTTGGGACCTATGAAGACCTAGAGTCTTAAGGCTAGTGTTCCCTATATTAACTTTATTCATGATAAACATTTTGAGTTTAATAATAATTATTATCAAATAGGGCATGACTATAGCTGATCAAACCCATCTTTCCGGGTGGATTTTTATCAGCCTTGTTGGACAACTGTCAAAAAACCACCACAGCCTGGTTCTTCACCCGCAGCCCTGGGTCAAATGTAGCTCTCTGCTTAGAGAATATGGAATAAGAGTCATGGAGTCATGGGAGAATAAACCGTCCATTTGCCTGGCCAGAGCTCAAAGTCAATTACACAGTGGAGGCATGCAGCCTGCTGATATGATATACCAGCCCTCTAACCCAAGGCTTCTTTTGTATTTGGTTTGTCTCTGTGTGTCTCACCTCTTTGTTTGCCTGAAATGTTCTCCCTTGCTAACTCTCTCCTCTTCCTCCTTCCCTTTATTTCCCCTGTGACTTCTGCCCCCTTCCCCCCTGTTCATCATTCTTTTTTCAACTTCTCTCCTATTCCTCAATATCCTTTATTCCCGCCGCCACCCCTCTGTAGCTGTGAGTGCCCTGTCCCTGTCATTGCGCCGTCAGAAGCGCGACTCCCTGTCACCACTGGAGGAGGATGACGTGCGTGAGAACATCATAACGTATGATGACGAAGGCGGGGGTGAGGCCGACACCGCTGCCTTTGACATTGCCGCACTACAAAGTGCCCCGCACAGTTCTCGCTCACGTGGCTATCGCACACTGGACAGCAGGAATGTGTAAGTAGGCAAAGAGAGAGTGTTTGGGAGAGTTTATTTACATGTGGTGACACTTATGTAACACGTATTTAATTCCGTCAAACCTCATGGCTGGGCTCTTATTAAAAGCTAAAAGGGAGCCAGGAAAGAAACAGATTTACCTCTTCAGAGTAATAGCTTTATCTCAATCCAGCACGTAATTGATCAACCTAAGTAACTGATCAAGCCGTAACTCCCAGGTCATAATCAGTCACCGATCAAAATGCTGAGACAGAAGGCTATCAAGCTTTGCAGTCCTCAGAGACCACTTTGTTTTGCTCATTTTGTTAAAGCTCGTTTATGTTCTGCTACATCAGAGAGTTGTTTGCACCCACTTTGATGTTTCTGTGAAACATTGTTATTGCCTTTGGACTAATAATTAGCTCCGATGAATTCATGCAGCCATATGGGGAGGCCATAAACAAGTACAAAGGCTGCTTTTAATTTATCGAAAATTGCTTCTCGCAATTTACAGAGGTGGACACAACATGACTTCTAAATCTAATGCAATCCATTGCAATATCCCTGCAGTAAATACTACCTTTCTGAAGTTTTTAATGTTTCTTTTTTGTTGACACTGTATCACAGAGGAGTGGATGGTTAACCGTTATGGTAACTTTGAAGCTGTAGTTTGTGTTTCTGTTGTATTGCATTGGTAAGATACAACAGAGACCAAATTTGCACTTGAATGTATGTTTACTTGATACTTGTTATTGGAAATAGTAGCAGTTCTATGTGTGCTGGGGCTCTGGAGGGAGCTTTCTCAAGTCTGGGAAAATAAACCTCATGAGGTTGTCATTGTTCTCTGAGACAGAATGCCTACATTACAACAAAGTGTAACTGAACAAAGTGGTCAAATGAACAGAAATACCCTAAAAAGTGGATAAATTGAAAAAACACCACAAACCATGGTCTCAAAAATATTCTCAAAATGACCTGAAATTGTGTGTCTTGGTGTGCCAGCAAGTCGAGACTCCCACCACACCAAAGACTTTTCCTGTCACTGTATTGTTCACTGTCAAATTAAGTACAAAAATTACTTGATTTACCCTACTTAATTAAATGCCTCATGTCTTACAGACGTTACGCCCATCGTAACCAAGAAAAAGCTCGCACCTATAGCTGGGCTCAAAATCCAGGTGTGGATCACAACTACTCTGGACCAGGAGGACCTCTCTATGGTCGCCTCTGTTACAGCAGCCACACTTTACCTGTTCTCCGCCGCACACCAGGGGGAACATTTGAACCAGGCCTTGCAGAGCTGGGATACCGCTTTCCTGGAGGCCAGCCAGACCACTCTCTGGTAATCCAGAACCAGGGGGCCATGGTAGGGCCAATGGAGTCTGGGGCGGTGTACATAGCTCCCACGGACCACAGCACAGGAAGCCGAACGGGGAGTCGTACGGGAAGCCGTGACGGGACTGCACCCCAAAGTGGAGTGAGCACGTCGGATGGAGGAACTCCGAGAACCAGTGACAGCCAGGAGAGAGGGGGAGGCACAGGAACTGCAAGCAACTGTACAGAAGGGAGCAGTGAGGACAAAGTGAACCACACTCAAGATGTGGACTGGGTAAGGATTACAGTGACTTCATTTTCACACCAAATGCGCAATTTGGGATCACAGTTTGATCATTGATTTGTTCCCAAATATGCTGACCTCCATGACGAGCATCCACTGCCATTCTGGCATTGATACGAGGCAGAAGTTACACAATTTTGCACTCAAGAAAAATAGGGAATTTAATTTTGTGCTCTCTAAATTGAAGGAGTTATTTAATTCTCCACTTTGATCCAGTCTACCCACTGTCCATAGAGATGATGGGGGATGCCAAAATGAACATTGTTATTGTTTAAATAGCAATGTTGTCCATAGCATACAAGTTAGTTGTTTCATGCTTAAGGTTAGCGTTTCTCAAATGTCTCCTGTAGTACCCCTTGTCCTGACTTAAATGATCAGCTTATTATCAAGCAACTTCAGGAGTTCATAACGATTTGATCACTGAGCCAGCTTTGGAGCAGGGAGAGATCTACAACATGCAGGGCAAGGGATAGCCTATTCCAGGAGAGGTTTGGGAAACGCTGCTTTAGGTAATAACCTCCTTTAATCTACATTGTGCATATGATTCATAGTTGCACGTTTGGTGTCAAACTGGCATATGAATGGATTCTGTACTGCAACACAGTTTTAATACTGAATGAATGAATAGATGGATGAATGGTTGGCTAAATGTTTCAGAAGTAGAAAAAAAACTGAAATTTTATAAATTACTTGATTAATGATAGATGGCTGCATTGGGGGAATCATTAAAGATGAATGAATGACTTTATTATTCAATTAAATAAGTAAAGAAGTAAGTTAGAAAGTAATTAAGCAAAAATAAAACAGTGATTAAGTTTGTATTCAATCTCATATACTATATTATAACAGTGATTGCAACACTTATTTTTTTTATCTCTGTACGGTAGGACAAGGCTGGGAGAAGATGATGATTCAGATATATCAGCACATTTATATCCTGTTGCCCTGCTGGTTCATTATCCTTTCTATGTTTTGTTTTATTTATTAGGCCATTGCAAGGCTCTATGGCCTTTCCTTTATTTAATTTTCAAATATTTTATCTCTCGATCACTTCCCTCTCCATCTCCCTCTCACAGTGCAGTGTTAGCTCATTTTAGTGTTCAATTAATATCTAAGGCTTCTTCCAACTCTGCTTTTTTTCCACTCTGTTCTGCTCAATGTCTGTCTCTCCTCGCCTCAATCATGTTTTTATCATCACCATCTCCTGCTTTTATCCCAATTTGGGGATGTCATCACACTCCCCCATCTCCCTGCTTTTATTATGCCACTTATTAAATTATCCTTCATCCCATTTTGTGCTGTAACCAAACCTAACAGTACCACACCCTACCCCAGCCCCGAACTGAAACCACTCGTGCTCGCCTACGTTCCCTCCAGGTGCAGTCGGAGACATTACCCAGAGAACACAACCTCGTCATGACCCGATCCGGCTCCATGATGGGCCAGGGTCACAGTGCAGGAGGCTGGGTGTGCGACTCAGCCACCCTCCCCATGGCAGGACGCAGGGCCTCGCGCGCCGGCTTGTCCCCAAAACGCACAAGCTCTGGCCAGGCTGAGTCTGACTCCAGTGGAGGAGGCGGTGGAGGAGGAGGGGGAAGTGGAGGTGGAAATGGGGGCACCTCCACAGACGGACAACAGCAACCTGCCAGTGGACGCAACTACGCCACTGTCCTGCAGGGGGAGGTATCTGGACAGAGGGACTACCCCGGAAGTTTGGGAAGAGGAGGACTGGAGATGGGGAGTAACTTTGTGGTGGCAAGGCCAGACAGGGAGGGTGGAGGGATATCATCAGTCTACCCAGAAGCAGCTGGCTTTATTGGGGACTGGCGTGATCGGGTGGGTCTAGGAGGGTATGTTTTGGGCAGAAGGGATATGACCCCCCAGCTTTTTCCCTTCCCAGGGCAGCCACGGGGAGCATACAGTGGTGTGATGGGCTTTGGGGGCGGCTGGGTTCCAGGAATGGAGGCTATGAGAGGAGCACCAGGACCTGGGGGTCCTTCCTTGGCACTGAGGGTGGGCGAGTTCCTACGTCTGCGTCTTGCCCAGGTCACTTTTGACCCATCACAGCCACCGTACGACTCTGTGCAGGTGTACGGCCTGGAGGGCACAGGGTCCCGTGCTGGATCCCTCAGCTCACTCGAGAGTGAAGGAGAGAAGGATGCAGACAAGGAGGAGTGGGGGGCAGGTCTAGAAGAGTGGGGTCCCCAGTTCCAGAAATTAGCCCAACTCTTCAAAGAAAGGGAGAAAGAGAGGGAGGAGAAGGAAAAAGTTGAGGAGGGTGCCAAAAAGGAGAAGGAAAAGAAAGAAGAGCCAGAGAAGAAAGAGAAAAAAGAGGGAGGAGAGCAGGCTGGAGAAGAGGGGGAAGACTGAGGAAGGATAAAAATGAAACAAATAAGGGCAAAGGGGGTAAGAGAGGAAGGGAGGGAATAGGAGGATGATGAAAAGGCAACCAGAGCTAGAATAATGTGAAGAGAAGTTAAAGGAGAGAAAGATGAAGAGGCAAAGTAATAAAAAGAGACAGAGAAAAATGAGCCTAGGGAGGATGGAGAATGCGAGGGCAGGGGAGGGAGTGATTGATGTAATTTAAAGCAATAAGTGTTGAAACGCTGATATGGTTGAGCACAGATACTGAGACAATGCAGAAGCTGCTTTTGCTCGGGGCAGCAACAATTTGTTAAATGCTTTGGACAAAGAAAAACAACCCAAACATCCAAGACTCGATTTAATTCAACTCTCACGTATGGAATGAGAAACGGCGGGAAACAAGGAGGAAGACGTTTCTTGTTTGCGTGTGTCGGTCTACACTCTGTGTGTGCGTGTGTTTGTGTGTGAGGGAGGTCTGTGAGGGAATATGGATGTGTGAGCAAAAGTGCATATACACACTTGTACCCGTGAGTGTATATGTGTGCATATTTAAGAAAGACGGAGCACGAGTGGCAGGGAGAAATCAGACTGATGACTAATGAGACATAAACTGCAACATTAGTTTTTGAGACAATGTGCAAAGATAAACATTTAACAAGTTTAGAAACTAGGAAGACGCACAGAATAAATGATCTATTTGAATATAAAGTGAACAGGACAGGGGATAGATATATAGAGAGAGAAATGGTCGGAAAGTGAGACGATTGTACAGAAACTGTTACTTTTATTCCATCTGCAGTGGCAGAAAAGTGAATTATTCAGCTCACTACTTCATTCCAAATGAAAATGATGAATCATTTAAATCCTGCAAAAGATTCTCCCTCCTCTCAGCCCACAAGGAAAACAGACATTGTGAAAAATTTAAACGACTGATCCCCCACTCCCCCACCCTCATTATCCCTCCAGCTTTTTGTAGTTGAGTGTTGATATGTTTACAAAGATTCACTCACAAAACACACACATACACACAAAAGAACTGATGAACACCATAAGGCTTTGATTGTACTACAGTAAATTATAAAAAGCAAAACCATCCACAAGTATTCCATCTACTATATGGAGTAATGATTCTATGACTCTATTATAGATCTCTTAAATGTTTTTATGGAAGAAGTCTCCGATTTTTTATGCCCATCTCCCATATTGTCTCACTTGACCCAGCGTGAGGACAAAGTATGCATGACTTTTGAAAACAACATTAAACCTAACAAGGCAATCAATTCCACTTTGGACACCACACTGCCCAAAAGAAAATTTCCATAGATATGTAATGAAATCATAGGGGAACAACACCACAGAGACTCCCACGACAGGCTTTTTGTTCTTATTAAAGGTCAGGATGCAAATGAGCTGGAATTTTCAGCTGGAATGCACTTTTATACTGTGTGATGTTCAATAATAGATTATGAGTAATGTCAAAGATTACAGTTGTTTTATAAGATGTCAATCAAAAAAATACAATGCTTGACTGTATGTAAAAGCATTTCAAATGTAAATACTACTGAATCTAAAAGAGAGTATATAAAATTAAAAATGAGTAAAAAAATATAAAACAGAACTTACAAGTCCAAATGGAGCACTGTTGGGACTATATGTATGTATTGTAGATTAGATTAGAAATGGATTAACTGAGCTGGACGTAATAGCCTCCTGGACTGAAAACAACATCATGTATTCAACATCTATGTAGTAAGTGAACGGGTTTGGGTTTGTTTTGTGGTAGCTCTCGTCTGAGATGGACAAGCCAAGGATTCAATTATATATGTGGCCTCTGGCAGAAGGTTGTTGTGCAAAATATTAGTTATAGGAAGCCTCAGAACTAGCCTGTACCAGCGAGAAACCAATTTGATGAAAATCCAATGGGTTGAGGAGAAATTCCCCTAATAGGCATACAACAAAAAAATCTGTATTTTCCCTAAAATCTGGATTATTAACTTTATGCAAAAGTAGAATAATACACTAAAATTGAATTTGTAATACAGTTCAAGGCTGTGCCATTAGTGTTGCATTGCCTGAGAGATATGTAACAAAGTTTTATACAGGAACTCATATCTACAAATACCATAAAGTGTACATTTTAGAGATTTTTAATATGAGTATAGGATAGTGACTGTCTGACATGCACTTCAGGCAATGCAACTCAATGATCATTTTATTAATGTACTTTGCTTTACCTTGACCACTAGGTCTACATATATCTAAAGTCAATCAAATTCTCAAATTTTGTGGAATAATAACCTAATTGTCAAATTTGACAAACTAAATTATTTGAGTCCAGAGGGGAATTTTGCCACATACCCTAACCTGAATGTGGATGTCTTTGGTGTGCCATCGCAGAAATGTCACAGTTTATCACTGGTTCACTGTAAAGCCACCCACATAAGTCAAGATGCCAGCTTTGCTAGTGTCCACCAGTTTGGTCCACCATAATCTTGCTGTCAAGGTGTGCTACTGTCAACACTTACTTTATCAGTCAGGAAGTCAGGCTTCGCACTGACCAAAATGAAACCCATATACACCTCTGTACCCTTTACCTGAGCCACAGACTTGTCCAGACAGTGCCGCTGTGCAGGCTGGATGGTATCAGGACCAATGTACAAATACTGCACAATTACTGAAGAAGAGTGGGGGGTACAGAACCTCGGGGAGTCTGTGTTATAATTAATTATGGCTGATCATAAATACCTCAACACACTAAAGATACCCTGTAAACGTGTCAGTGTAATCGAAAATGACATATGGGCTATTAACAGTAATATAATGTGTGCCAATCTTAAAAGACAAGTCTAGTTTATTAAAACTTGGGTCCTATTTTTTTTATTGTTTTTGCCATTATTTTTATCATGAATAACAACATTGTATGTAGTCTGCAAGGTAATTGCTAAGATCTGGGACTGGTAAACACTGCTTTAAGGGAAGTGCATGGGGCAAGAAACACAAGCTTACAGGTCTTTAACGTACCCTCAGGTTAGCCAAACATAATTGGATGAAACAACAGAGGCAGACAGTAAAAGTATTACATAAACTGTCTGTTGTAAAAATTTACTGCTTGGTTCAAATTTGATCTACTGTACTCTCTGTAGTTGTGCCACAGTGTTTTGTGGCAATGAAGGATGATTACAAACATCTGACCCCATTTATACTTAGTCATTTCATGTGTTTTGGGAGAATCAGATAGCTATTGGATATCAATAAAAAGGGTCAAGTCTAATGCATTCGAGATGGACTGAAATCTGATTGCTCAACATTCTAGCTAGTTGAAAGAGTGTAATTGCATTCACCTCTCTACAAATCATAGGTCATTTTTACTCTTCAGTGAGCAGTCTATGGAAGTTCCCTCTACAGGGTCTTTCCTGTGACACTGATACTGAAATGATATTAGCTGTTGTTCTTCCTGTCACATTAAAGTGTGTTTTAACGTTGCTCTGTATGGGTGAGGTAGCAGCATAAATGACATTCCATGAAACTTGTAGTCCTTAAACAGTTTATCCATGAGTTTGTGTAAGTTGTGTGGATTGTTGTTAGCTAGCTAACTAAACTGTTAATGTTGTAACTAAACTTAGTGCAGATGTTCTTCATTTTTGGCATTTACCAAACAGGTGAGTAGCACTGATTAGTTGGAATCTGAATTACAAAAGTCTTGCCTAGAAATGAAAAATGTAAATTGAGTACCTTTTTGGTTTCCTATCATCATCTGACGTCTTGTCTTTCTCACCCCATCTGACTTTGTTGTAGAAATGTTGCCATGTCCCCAGTACTCAGCAATTAGTTAGTTGTGTAACTTGTTGTCATAAATGATAGAAATGATGGTCAAAACTACAAAAACAAAACCCAAGTTGTTGTTATGAACCAGAATTATCTTTTAAACCTCATTTTATTGGAGTGAAATGCCAAACACTGGTACACCTTAAATGACTGCCAAAGAACTTGGAACCATTTTGTTATGAGAATAAGCATTGTTGTAAAGAGCACTAGTGTGTTGGTTTCCCAATGCATCATCTGGGCAATGCTGTCCTTAGCATTTATGTGAAATGTGCCAACTTTCTGAGCCTCTCTGTCTCTCAACACACACACAAAAAACTATCCTCATTTTCATAACAGTATTGCCAATTCTGGGGCAGCCATTGCAAAAAGCAATTAGCATGGTATACTAATAAGTGACCTTTCTTACCATTCTAATTATATAGTTTATTCCACAGGCTTGATTGGCTCCAGGTGTTTCTTCTCTGCTGATTGGTCTAATTCAAAGTTCTGCTCTGGCTGATTGGTCAAAATCAAAGTGATGATTCTCCTGATTTGTCTTATTTCAGAGCTCTGGAGTGCTGCGCCGACTAAACCACTTGACGGAGCTGATTATCCCACCTCCTGAGCCCGGCAAATTGGTTCAATCAAAAGCGTGATTAGTTGAATCAGTTGTTTTAAATAGAATAAAAGCCTGCAGTCTCTGCAGCACTCCACAGCTCTTTTTTAGTCTTTAAGCTAGCTTAGATGCATCAACCGACAGTGGCAGACGAAAGTGGTTCTGTCAGGCCATTTGTCAAGTCCTCTGTCAAAGAAACCCCTATATACTGAGGATAGTTAACTCACACTTAAATTATAAGAGCAGGTATCTTAGCATCAAGATATGGTGACAGGTTGGTTAAGGTGCAATTTGAAGGTCATCTGGTCTGAAAAGTCCTCTTGACTCCAAACAGGTAGACCCCATCGGTTCTGTGTCCCCCAGTGACTTCATTGCTCCCGCACGATGTTGATACAATTCCACAATTGCGTGCTGAACAAAGTGTATTTATTTCTGTTGTACTTTTTCTTTTTGTAAATTTGAATAAAAAAATGAACTATTTCAATACGATGAGTCAGACCTGCTCTGTGCTCCTTTCTACAGTCTCCCGAATTTCTGGATAATCAGACTTCCGCTGCTTGCATGTACCTTTGTGTGTGTGTGTGTGTGTGTGTGTGTTTGTATGTGTATGCAAGGGAAGGAAACCGAGGGAGAGAGCGATTCAAAGATGTGCTGTGCACTGCATACAAATAGGTACACACCTTGTGAGCATGTGTCTTGTTGTGAGTAGGTGGGTGTGCCTTGTCAAATTGGCCCCTTGATATTTCCAAACCTCAGACAGTGTGTGTGTGTGTGTGTGCACATGTGTGTCTGACTGCAGACAAGGAACACCTTGTCTGGTCGGATCCAGCCCGATGTGGGATGTGAGGTCAGTGATAGAGGACAGACGGAGAGTTTTGTAGAGCAATCACGCTTTCAGACGGAGGGGGAGAGTTCTCTGTTTGTACGCCAGCAAAAAAAAAAACAAGGAAAAGAAGGGACATTTTGAACTCTAGATCAGCAGCAAAATAGAGCAGACCTGACAGCTGCGACCAAATAATACAAGGCCCTTTTACCAACCCTTGTAGCTCTCCTGGATTCTGCAGCCTTCATCCCAGCTGATGATGGATCAGGGAGAAGTGCCATTGCTGTGTGACTGAATAGCTGGTTAAAAAGATTTATTACAATAATCAAATATGAAGGAGGGGATTATTTCTACATGATGGTTTAGAGAATGATCGTGTTAACTGGGTCTCCGCTTGATTACAATGATAATACCCGCCTCAAGTCAGGAGAGGGAGAGAAACAGAGGGGTAGAGGGAAGGGATAGAGAGAACCATATTAGCAGTTAATATGCAAGTCTGTTGCATTACATAAAACTGTATTTGTGATTGGGTTAGGGCTGATTCTGCCGAGTGCTGAAGAAAAAAGCCCTTACCATCTCTTGCGTGCCTGTGCATTCCCATGATTATGGGCTGACTTGCCCCCTACGGAGGCAACATCCTGTATCTAAAGAGGATGTGAAGTCAGTTGGAGGCAAAACAGCTTTGACTGGCTTTAACCCCTCGCCCTACCGTCACCAAACTGATAAAACACCTAAACCAACTTGTAACCAGCATAACATTCTTATCGATTTACGACTATGTACATTTATCGGTCTGCCTCAAGCATCAACACCGCAATGCAGCATTCTAGGTGAAATGCACTGTCATGGCACTGTCAATAATTACAGCATGCATAATTGATCATAGTATAATGGCAGAGCTGGTGATAAAATGGGCTCTGTTTAACCTGTGCACCTGGGAATGACTAACTACACACTGTACTGGAGAGCTGCATTCACACTCATTGTGCTGCAGGATTGCATCACAGGACACACAAGTTGGTGTGCGTGTGCGTGTGTGTGTGTGTGTGTGTGTGTGTGTGTGTGTGTGTGTATGTAAATTCAAGTACATGGAGATTCCTCATTCTGTTTGAACCTTACTGACACACAGAATCCCTCTGGCTATATTCAGCACAGTGTGAGTGCTTGTGTGTGTGTGTGTCTGTGTGTGTGTCTGCGCATGTGCCTGTGCATGGGCATCTTTGCATTTCAAGTGTGTATAGGCTTTAAAGGCGGCTTCCAAAAGCAAGGAAAGTGTAAGGGAATGAGGTGAATTTCAACAGCTGTAGAACTCAAGGCAAGTGTAACTTTGTTGACGTGAGCACTTCCTGCCCTGTAGTTAAACATCTAACAACCTCCTAAGTAACTTTTAACTCCCCCTGTCCCTGTGGTTTTTATACTGGCCCATTCCTCTTCCTCATCCCCTCTTGTCTTTCTCCTTTCTTTCCTCTCGCGCTCTCTTGCTCATGCGTTTCACTCAGGACGCTCACTGGCTCATTTGAAGTGGAAAATTAAATCTTCATTAACAATCTTAATTAGAGTTCGATCTCTCCATAGCAGGCCGACAGGGAATCCATAGTGTAACAGGGGGAGACCAGGAGCAAGAGTTGGTTTCGGCAAGGTGGTGGTGGTGGTGGGGGGGGGGATTAAGGGGGTAATTAGTGAATGGGAACTTCAGGGTAAATCACACAGGAGGTATTTACACTTTCAGAGGCAGGGGGAATGGATGGAGGACGTGGATAATTACAGTGGTCCATTGGTTGATGGTGGGCACTGGAATGATCTGTTCTTACATGTGTGAAGTGTGTGCTGGTTCTGCATTGTTGGTTTAATGGGAGGGATGGAGTTGAAGAGGGCATTATTAGTCAGAAATCTTCATTGGAATTGCTTCTTGTCTTGCTTTTTGGTGACATGGTGTGACTTGAGGCGACATAATCCCTTATCATGCTTCCATAAGCATAGAGCATTTGCCTAATACCAGACAGTAATCATTCAAAGACACTGCTAAGCATGCAGCCCATTGCTCCCCCTCTTATCCACATTTACATGCTACAGCACACTGCTGTGTGCAGGGAGTGGCTGGAAAACAATTATGTTCCAGCACAATTCAAATATGAATGATATTCTTAAAAGTGAAAGCAGGAAACTCAACTTTCTTGCAGCGCAATCCTTCAATCACTGAGGTCTTTTCTCACTGGAGCTCTATTGTAGTTAGGTATCCTATCAGGAACCATCATCATCCCTCTGCAGTCCTCTTTAGTGGAAGAAATGAGCGGAGGAGCAGAGATTTTTGCCTGAGGGAAACCAAGCCAGTTGAACTAGCCCAGGACCCGCAAAACCTAGCCTACGTCTGACTGCATTTACCCCGACAGAATAGTTTATTTGTTTGGCTGTCCAGCTGCAGCTTTATTTGCAGAGAACATACAGATACACGTGGCCGCAGAATATTTTCTAAACTGTGAGGGCAGGAGATAGTGTCTGGACCTTCGTTTTATTTATCTGCTCTGCACGGTTTCCTGGGAGCAGAGCTGGTCGACTGCTCCGAGCAGGGTGATCATATCTGCAGTAATGTTGTTGTGGCGGCTCAAGACTCAGGAGAGAACTCTGTGAATGTCTGTGGGTGTGTGTGTGTGTGTGTGTGTGTGTTGGGAGGTGACAGACTCTATTTACACAGCTGATCATTAGAGACAAAGAGAAAAAGAGAACATGATAACCAATTACAGACACACAAACAGAGACGGAGAGAAAAAGAGAGAGAGAGTTAAGTACGTTCATTAGCCCTTTGTGTCAGATTGGTTAATTGTTCAATGAAGTGAGAGGAATAATAAGTTGAGGGGGGTGTTATTGCCTTTAGTGAAATGTTCACGGGGATTTATTCTCATCAGCTGTGCTTCTTATTGTCCTACATAAATCATAGAGAAATGTTAACAGCTGAGGGCTGCAGAAAAGGCAGAGCCAGTGTTTGTTCAACTGCCCACTCACTAAATACCAACAGATACTCAAACAGTGTGTGTGACCGTTAAGAATTCCATTGTCATCCGATGGAGTTTTTTTATGCAGCACTAGACCATTGTCAAATAAACCATATCTGTCCATCTGAGTACACACAGCACTGGCTTAGCTTGAAATATATTGTCTTTATTACAACAGTAGGAGTAAAGAATAAGTAAAGTAAAGGAGGCCCACACACTGTATTGATTTATTTAGTGCAGGTACAGTGTGATATGTAGACAATGCTGAATTTTAATTCTAATTTGTTTAATTAAAAACATTTATGGTAGAAATCTAAGCAGTGGTTTGGTATAAGGGCTATATTTTTCTTTTTTTCCCATTATATCAAACTTCTGTCTTGATATTTTTATTTCTATAAAGTTGTCTGTTTTCTGCTGTACTTTCTTTTGCTCAGAGGTGTTGATAATGTAGGCCAGGAAACAGGGCTGCGTAGAGTTGTGACCTCTCTGGTAGTGATGTAATACACTGCCCTTCACTTCACTTGTATTACTATTAGTTCTCTATTATTGGGGTTGTGGTTATAACAAGCCTATAGTTATTTTTGTTTTTGCTGACTTCCTTTGTTTCCTGTGGGCCTCTGTAGTCCGTGAATCTCAATCTCAAGTATTTCATTAGTCACTATGTTACATTAACATCAATTACATGACCATACGCACATGTTTAATTAATCCTAAATATTTAAAATATTTACAACATACATTTTGGATCCAAACATCACTTCAAAAGTCCTTTTCTTCCCCTTTCCCATCCCAACGTCCCATTTCCTTTGAACTACTTTTCAAAAGTAGCTTTTAAGGTTGTTAAAAACATCTGAGTATGTTGAGTATCATTTGTGTTTTAGCTTTTTCCAGCTCTTCATTAACGCCATGAGTGAAATGTTTACTCATTAGTCTCCATGATTTAATGCCTATACCATTTATCAAACAGAAATATTTTGGATGTGATATATTTTGGATTTAGCACTTCTTGTCGTCTTTAGCTCTGTCTCTTAAAACATGATGTTCATGTTATTAATGTTATCATGTATAATTACGTTGGTTTGTTATACATTAGGCTTATACACGGATAAGTAATAACTTGATTTGTTTTGGGTGGAATGTCCGCTGATTTTCCATTTGTATAATTTAAGTTATAGGATGCTTTTAACCTGTTATTTTTCCTTGCATTAACTGAGGGTGTTAGGAGCGGGTAAGGGTGGGTGTGCAAGTCATCTGTATATGTACTATATGTAGTTATGTAATGTTCTGTTTTGTATTTGTTTATTATGTATTTGTGTTGTAGGGATTGTGCATTGTTATCCAAAGCGACTTACAATTCCTATATATGTCAGAGGTCACACGCCTCTGGAGCAACTAAGGGTTAAGTGTCTTGCTCAGGGACACATTGGTGTCTGCCACCAATGTGGCAATGTTTAATCCATGCAAAAATATGATTTATAGAGTGTATGTACTGACCCTCAGTTCTTGGCCTCTCACTGACGTGCAGTGATGCAGAAGCAACAGAGCACACTTCTAACCACACACAACCTCACCCATCAGAGGTTGAGGTTTATTAGAGCACCCAGGTCCACTAAAACTAAAACCACGGCACATGCAACCAGGCTTACATAAAGCAGCC